GCCGGCGCCGGGCGCGGCGGAGCGGGGGAGGGGAGCGAAGGGAAAGTGAGAGCGGGGGCGGAGGGGGACGGGAGCGAAAGAACATCCTGTGCCCGTCGCCGGATGCGCGCGGGGGGAGGAGGCAGTGGGGGGGCCGGCTGGGGAGGCCCGCGGCGGGGCAGGCGCCGCCCCGCCCTCCTCCTCTGGGGGCGCCGGGCCCGCTCCGCGTGCTCTCGCCCGTCTCTCCGGGCGCCCCGAGCCGCCCGGGGCCCCAGAACCTGGTGCCCGGGCCGCGGTGAGCGCTAGCTGGGAGGGCTGATCTCGGAGATGCGGGGTCCGCGCAGGCGGGCGGCCCGGCTTTCGTCTCCCGGCGCTCGGGCTGTCTGCGGCGGAAGCTCGCACGTGTCGCGTCCCCTGTGCGCCGCGAGTAACAGCGCGTTCTGTCCTGACAGCCGCACCGCCAGGTAGTAGGTAGGTATTAATAGACTCTGGCGGAGGAAACCGAGACTCAGACTGTGGAATCTGTCCAAACCCCAAACTGCTGGGTTTTTGAACCCAACCCGATCAGACTCCAAAGGGTTTTTCATCGGAGTATAGAGTAGGCTAATTTCTCTTCGCATCTGTGCACGTTAGTGCTGGGCGCCTGCAGGGTCGCCCTGGTAATGGCCTAGCAGGGTGTCTTTCTCAGTAGGCCCCGGACTGCTGGAGCTTCTCTAATTAACTAGGCTGCAGCACCCATCGCTGGGGTACTGGTAAAGAGAATGAGGAAGTAGCCTTAGAGTGTCACAGGTGGTTGGATGGTTTTTTAGAACAAAATAGCTCAGGGCAATGGACTGGGGGGATAGCTCCAGGTTTGGGTATTTCTGGGGGCTTCAGACTGGGCTCCAAAAGAGCAATTAAATGGGTTACAGGAGGAAGACCAGGGTGAGAGGTACTGGGAGAGTGGAAGGGGCTTAATAATGCACTTTTCAGGCCAGGGATGCATGGAGCCCTACCATCTGTCTGTTCCCACTGCCTTCCCACACCAACGTTTTTGTGTATAATGATTATGATTGCAGTCAACATTTGTTGAGCTCTGTGCTGGACACTGCTCAAAGTGCTTACTCCTCACAACACCATAAAGTAAGTTTTATTAGTGCTGTTTTACAGATGGGGAAAATGAGGCACAAAGAGATTGCTAGGCTGAACTGGTTGTGAACCCTGGTAGTCTGTCTAGAATCAAAAGTCATTCACTAAACTACAGTGCACTTAACGTGGGGGAGGGGGGACTTCAGCCTTGAAGGCAAAAAGCTGGTGGAAGTGGCAGAGAGGTATGTGCTTGGACAGCCCACATCCTTTTCCTTGGTGAGGGCAGGTAAGAAACTCATGGCTGTGTGTATATCAGCTCTTGACTTCCCTCTGGCCAGTGGTTCCAGATTTCTGGATTTGACAGAAAAACAAAACAAGAAAACAAATGAAGGCCAGGTTCCCATAAAGAGTTGCAGCTTTTCATTTATGCTCCTTAAGAACATTCAAACCATACCGTGTATCATCATCATTTCCTAAATTTTAATTCTCCTATAAACAGGAATGACATCTGAATTGAAAACAGTTATTCCCAAGGACAGTCATTGACTTTATACCAACAAATAGACATTCCTCTCTCTTAATATTTTGTTCTGTGGTCTAGTGAAAATGTCACCCTAAAGATGACAATGACTCTGCCTGCATTCCGTCTGAATCATTTGAGGGCAGAACCAGAAGAAATGGGCTTTAGGTGTAGCAGGAAGAAGTTAGATTACAGCCAAGAAAGAACTGCCTTTGGAGGTCTTTAAAGAATAGGCATCAGGCCTGTAATCCTAGCTCTCCTGGGGGCAGATGGGGAGCATAGGTCTGGGTGCTCAAGGCGGGTGAGTGGGCAGGGCTTGCGGGGGCCACGCGGCGGCGGCGAGTCGAGGTCGCGCGCCAGTCTGCCCCAGCGCACACTCGTAGGGTGTGGCGGCGGCCGGGAGGCTGCGACGGCGGGGAGGCTGCGCGCCGAGCGCAAGCCGCGAGCACAAACAAGGGCGAGGAGGCTGGTGTGAGCGCCTGGGCCGGCTGCCAGCGCGCCGGGCTGGAACACAAGTCGAGCGGGCGGGCGAGCGCGAGCGAGAACAGCCTGGACTCAGCAGCTGGTAGTGGTGTGCTCGCTCACAAGATCAACCGCTCTCGCAGCCTGCGGTCAGCGAGACCGACACTCGGCGGCTCTGCAACGGGAGGGCGCTCCCGGCTCGCGCCAGCCTGCCGCGGCCGACCTCACGTGGCGTTGCGCACCCGCAGCCCTCTTGCCCTCCGTTAAAGCGTCTCCAGGCCCAGCTGAGTAGAGCAGCCTCCTGCCCCACCTGGAGGGGCGCTTCCTCACCCAGCGACAGGTGTGACAGGCACACAGCTGCTGCATACATGTGCCATGTCCCAACCTCAAATTCTGGGACACCTATGAGGTCTCAGCATGGGAGATGCAACTCTTTAGTTGCAGACAGAGGTAGGAGTTGTCCTGGGATGGGGGGGGGGTAGGTTTGTAGGAGAAAGAGGATCCCAGAAGTGGGTTATAGGGCCAAGAGGTCTCCCATCTCTGTCCTCACTGACCCAGGAGTTCAGAGTGTCTTCTGTCCCCCTCCCCTCAAAACCACTAGCCCTGGAAGATTTCCTCCTCTGAGGCAGGAGACGCAGATGGTATGGTGACTTGAAGCTGGAACGCTGCCTGTTTTGCCTTACCACCTCCCACCTGAAGCCACAGCAAGACCCACGAATCCTGCACCCAGCGCAGAGTTCCTCCTGGCCCCTCTGCTAGCCCGGCTCCTGGGGTCTGGTGGGCCTGAGGATGACAGCAGCCCTGAGCAGGGCTCTTCTGCAGGCGGGACCTGCTTATGCCCCCGCCTCCTGGGGTGTCTGCAAGGTGCCCTGAGGGACGCTCTGTGCCGGAGAGTGCCAGGCAGGCAGGGAGGGGCTCGTCCTCTGCGGTTCCGGTTCAGGGAAAGGCCTGGCAGGCAGCACAGGCATGGGCTCCAGGCTTGAGGGTGGGGCTGGGGGAGGACCCCAGGCTGCTGAAGTACTCCTCTGGGCTATGCCCAGGCATCAGATGGCTCTCTACACCTTCTGAGCCAAAGTGAGGAGATGGTGCCGCAGGGCTGGGCCAGGGACCACCTTCCACCCATACAGCAACTTCCACACAGGCTGTCACTTCTGCCAACAACGCACGCCATCTCCAGTCGGGAGGCCAACCTTCACTACCATCTACTCACCTTCACCTGATGCACGAATCTGTTCATGATATCCAGGTCGTTGCTGCTCTGAAGCTGTGACAGGACACTCTCTCAGAAGGCAGCCACTGCCTTCTGGACTTATCCTGTCTCCAAGTCCAGTCCACCTACAGAACACCTGCCTTAGATTCCTAGAAGTACTGAGCTCATTCTCAGCCCCTACACCAGCCCCTCCCTATTGCCCACCGTGACTCCCGGTCCGGAAACTCAAGACAAAGGTGGATTTGCTTTACTACTCTCTCCTCCTTCACCATCCTATGTCTTGATATGTTACCAAATTCTGCAGAGTCTTCCTTCGTTGCTTTTGTTTCAACAACAGTAGTATTTTCATTTCTTCTCATTCACTCTTCATCTCCAGCCCCACAGATTCTACCTTTGGCCCAAATCCACAGCAACTTGCCACACTGTCTTCTGACCAGATTTTTCCTTCCGCCTACACACCCTGCTGGAATAATCTTTCTCAACGACCATTTATTGTGTATGTTAAGTCAACGTCAGATCCTCAACCAACACACTAGGTACAACCAGCTACTACCTGTGTGGTTTCTGTATGAAGGGAACCAATTTCATTCATACGCGGCAGGCCACAGAGTTCTAGCACAGTGCCTGCTGCACAGCGCGAGGGCAGCAAATGTTCCTCAGTGACAGCAACATCCAGTGGTGTTCCTTTCTCATCCTTCCAATTCTTCTCTGCTGACTTGGTCTCTCTGTTCCATTAGCCTATTGGCTCTTGATGCTCACCTTGGCCTTTTTGTTTTGGAAAAGCCGCTAATCTTTCATTTCCCCAAAATCGTTCAGACGGGGATGGGGACAGAGAAGCTACATCCAAGATAATATCAGGAGTTTGTGCCAATATAACTACCCAACTGCAAGACTGAGAGCGAGTGGAATGCGTGCATCCCTGCCTGCTAGGAGCCTCTGCTCCAATAAAACCAGGGAGGGAGGGTAGAAGGAAGAAAGGAGAGTGGGCAGAGCAGTGGCTTTGGGAGTTTAAACAAGGGATCTCTTGCCATGGAGAGATTCCAACCCTGCCTAGCTCTGTCCTGTTCTGATGCTCAAGACTGTTCTTACTTGGCACCCACGTCTCACACACACAGACATACCCAGTGGTGTACACTTCATGATCCAGACTCAAAATCCACCTCCTGCAGGAAGCTGTGATAACCTCCACCACTTGTGATCGTCTTTTATCAGTTTCCTGGTGAGCCCTTATAGCTACCTTCAATCTTGTTCTATATTTTACGCTTAGTTATGTCCATACGTATTTTAACTACATATGGGATAAGTCCCCTTGGTATAACCTTTTGTGTCAGGGACAGTGTCTTATTTTTTTTTTATTTTTGATATCATCTATTTATTTTGAGTAGTAGGGATGGGTAACTGTGGGAGTACAACTTGGTCTGGATCTGGTTCTAACCACTTAGCTGTTTGGTTTGGATAAGTCTCTTATCTTCTGACCAGTTTCATCATCTGAAAAAGAGCCTAGTGATACTTGCCTTCGCAGAATGGAGGCAAAGATTACAGAGAATACAAAGTGCCAGGGAAAGTGTTGTTGCATGGTGATCACACAATAGTTTTGTATTATTTCCAGTACAGGAATTGGGGATAGGGGAAAGGCCTTCTTTAACGCCCATACCGGGAAACTTAGCGTGAAAAGGGACACTATTAATAACTACGACCAGTTTCAGGGATGTAATCCGGACCGGAGCACGCATGGCCACCCCTCCCCCTATTCTGTGTGACTGATGGGGAAGGGCCTCTGATTACTAGGCCTGACAAGCTTTTGGTGACTTACATAGAGTTGTCACTTGTCTGGGCTCAAGAATACTGCTGAAGTGCTTAGGAAACAAGGATGACAAGGACAAAGGGACCAACATCAAGGGCCCGTGGGACCTGCCGACCCAATCTGGAGGCTCCATAGCTTTGGAGGCAGCTTCAGGGCTGGATGATGACAGCGAGAAAGGGGCCTGGGGCACTCACCTTTCCGGAGGCCAACCTCTCCCCTCCAGAGCTCTCTCTGCACCCCACCCTCCCATCCCCCACAAGCGTTTAGAACCCAAGGCCTTGGGGGTGGTGGTGGCAGTGGCAGGAGACTCGTTTCTTGACCCATGAGGGGGCAGGGGGCCCCAGAGGCGGTAGGCAGATGAGAGCAGGGGTAGCTGACAGCAGGACGCCACGGCTGGAGAAGGAAGTATAAATATAAAGCCGCCAGTGTAGGACTGGACAGAGGCCATATGAAACACACGGTACATTCCGGCCCCAGCGTAACAAACTGTACCAGCCTTTTTGAGAGCTGGGAGCACTGAGGAGGGGAGGGACGAGAGCAGAGGTTCCTTCGAGGTGGCCCTGCCTCTCCTCCCCCACTTCTCCCACAATGCGAGCACTGCAGGGAAAGTCCCGATGTTCCTTTTGCAACCACAGGAAACCTACCATCCCTGCTCACGCTCTGTACCCAGTGTTCCTCCCAGCAGCTCCACGCTGGGAGGGAGCCAGGGTGTGTGCGCGTGGGGGAGTGTGGCGTGCAGACAGCCACAGCAGCCCAGGTAACACCAAGGGAGGTGGCAAACATCACTTGGACACTGACTTTCAGAGTTACAGCCTGCAAGGGCTGCAAGAGAGGTATAGATGACAGTAAGGAAGTGCCTTGCCCAAGGTCACACAGCCAGTTGTTCACAGGGTGGGACCAGAGTGCATCCAGAACTGGGTAGTGCTGGGCAGCTCTCTTGGGCGTAGTGTGTAGGAGTGGCAGGCCAGGGAACAGGCAGTGCCCAGGGACTGGGGTGGGGAGCCCAGACCCAAGGCTGCCTCTATGCTCTGATTGGCTCTGGGTGGGGCTGGCTTGGGCACTGTCCCTTCCAACCCTTCTAATCCTATCCCTCCCCTTAAATAGTAGAGATAATGCATGTAAAGTGCCTAGCATGGAGGCTGTTTTGTGGTGATGTCAACCAGAATGAGTCACCTCTACCCCTCCCCTCTCCTCCTCCACACACACAGCTCCAGGCCCAGAACCTCCTGGGATCTTTCTCCCAAATCACCACCTCCTTCCTTCTGAGTCCTGTAGCTGTTACACACGTTTGGTACTCACCACCTGCTGGCTCGGGTTATTATTTAACCTCACGCCATGTGTTTGTCTCTTCAACCAGCCTGCAAACTGCCCAAGGGCAGGAAATCATTTCAATACACCCAATATTTATTGAACATCAATTCCCGGGCCAAGCTTGGCCTGTGGCAGATGAGTTGGAGGGGTGGGGGGAGGCCTCAAAGAAGAAGCAGACTTTGTTTCTGCCTCAAGGATTTTCTAATCTGGTTAGAAGAACAGGATTAGTAAATAGATCACTAGCCTATGAGACAGGCCACAGGCTGTGCTGTGAGAAAGGTACAAGCCGAGTGTGCTGGGTGTTGAGAGGAGAGAGGAATCAGTTGGCTGGCACTGTTTCAAGCCAGCTTTGTGAGCTGGAGCTGGGGAGATGGGTAGGCAGGGAAGATCACCACTCCTGGCTCGGTGGAGGTCAGGAGGGAGAACGAAGGACCTCAGGAACTGTGCCTCACTTCTAATGACACCCTTAGCAGCACCCCACACTGAACCTTCCATGTTGTAGGTGCTCAGTTTATAAATCCTTTGGCCCCTCCTTGGTTTGGAGAGGGTGGGACCTTCAGGATCAGCACTCAGTGATGTGTTTCTGCAGAAGGCTGGGTAAGAAGAAAACGTGGATCTTAAAAAAAACCAGGGTTGGGGCTAAAGAAAGGGAAAGGCCAGGTTGCAGGGGGAGATTGGGGGCGTCTTCCCTCACCCTGCCCTTGTTCCGCTCGGCTGTCCACACCCACCCGCCAGTGTCTGGGCTCTCCCTGCTCCTGGCGTCCTGCCAGGGGTTTCCCAAGCTGTCCAAAAGGGCTGGGCTTGGTCTGCCAGCCCCGGGAATCCCTGGAGTCTCCGTGCTCCAAGGCTTCTGTGAAGGATCAGGAAATGGGGGCGAGGAAAGGGGTGGCTCCTCCAGGGGACGCTAGAAATGGCCCCCTCAACATAGGCTTCCGTTGTCACGTGACTGCGTCCCAGGTCTTGCAAGTCTGGGGCTGTCAAGTGCTCCCAGCTTCCTCCTCCGGACTCCTGGAATGAGAGCTTGGGGCACCTGGGCGGCAGCCTCGGTGGTTCCTTCTCCTAGAGCTCCCAACAGTCGCCTCTCCTCCCCAACTGTGCAAATCCAGACCCCAGCAAGCCTGGGGTTCCCAACCTGGGGGCAGATGGGGGATGCATAGGTCTGGGTGCTCCAAGGCGGGTGAGTGGGCAGGGCTGCGGGGGGCCCACGCGGCCCGGGCGCGCGTCCCCGAGGTCGCGCGCCAGTCCTGCCCCAGCGCACACTCGTAGGGTTGTGGCGGCCGGCCGGGAGGCTGCGACGGCGGGGAGGCTGCGCGCCGAGCGCAAGCCGCGAGCACAAACAGGGCGAGGAGGCTGGTGTGAGCGCCTGGGCCCGCTGCCAGCGCGCCGGGGCTGGAACACAATGTCCCGAGCGGGCGGGCGAGCGCGAGCGAGAACAGCCTGACTCAGCAGCTGGGTAAGTGGGTGTGCTCGCTCACCAGATCAACCGCTCTCGCAGCCTGCGGTCAGCGACGACCGACACTCGGCGGCTCCCTGCAACGGGAGGGGCCCGCTCCTGGCTCGCGCCCCAGCCTGCCGCGGCACCTCCACGTGGCCCGTTTGCGCACCCCGCAGCCCTCTTGCCCCTCCGTTAAAGCGTCTCCAGGCCCCCAGCTGAGTAGAGCAGCCTCTGCCCACCTGAGAGGGGCGCTCTCCTCACCCCAGCGACAGGTGTGACCAGGCACACAGCTGCTGCATACATGTGCCATGTCCCCCAAACCTCACCACTCTGGGACACCTCTGGAGGTCTCAGCATGGGAGATGCAACTCTTAGTTGCAGACAGAGGTAGGAGTTTGTCCTGGGATGGGGGGGGTAGGTTGTAGGAGAAGAGGATCCCAGAAGTGGGTTATAGGGCAAGAAGGTCTCCCCATCTCTGTCCTCAGCTGACCCAGAGTTCAGAGTGTCTTCCTGTCCCCTCCCCTCAAAACCACTAGGCCCCTGAAGATTTCCTCCTCTGAGGCAGGGAGACGCAGATGGTATGGTGCTTTGAAGCCTGAGACGCTGCTGTTTTGCCTTACCCACCCTCCCACCTGAAGCCACAGCAAAGACCCATGAATCCTGCCACCCAGCCGCAGAGTTCCTCCTGGCCCCTCTGCTGCCGGCTCCTGGGGTCTGGTGGGCCTGAGGATGACAGCAGCCCTGAGCAGGGCTCTTCCTGCAGGCGGGACCTGTCTTATGCCCCCGCCTCCTGGGGTGTCTGCAAGGTGCCCTGAGGGACGCTCTGTGCCTGGAGAGTGCCAGGGCAGGCAGGGAGGGGCTCGGTCCTCTGCGGTTCCGGTTCCGGGAAAGGCCCTGGCAGGCAGCACAGGCCTGGGCTCCAGGGCCTTTGAGGGTGGGGCTCGGGGAGGGACCCCAGGCTGCTGAAGTACCTCCTCTGGGCCTCATGCCCCCAGGCCCATCAGACGGCATCTCTAGCACCTTCTGTAGCCAAAGGTGAGGAGATGGATGCCAAGGCAGGCCTGGGCCAGGGACCACCTTCCCACCCATACAGCACACTTCCCACACAGGCTGTCACTCTGCCAACACGCACGCCATCTCCCAGTCGGGAGGCACCTTCACTACCATCTACTCCCACCTTCCACCTGATGCACGAAATCTGTTCATGATATACCAGGTCAGTGACTACTCTGAAGCTGTGACAGGGACACTCTCTCAGAAGGCAGCCCACTGCCCTTCTGGACTTCCCTGTCTCCAAGTCCAGTCACCTACAGAACACCTGCCCTTAGATGTCCTAGAAGTAACTGAGCTCATTCTCATGCCCCTACACCAGCCCCTCCCTATTGCCCACCGTGACCCTCCCGGTCCCCGAAACTCAAGACAAAGGTGGATTTGCTTTTAACTACTCTCTCTCCTTCACCATCCTATGTCTGATATGTTACCAAATTCTGCAGAGTCTTCCCTTCGTTGCTTTTGTTTCAAAACAACAGTAGTATTTGTTCATTTCTTTTCTCATTCACTCCTTCATCTCCAGCCCCACAGATTCTACCTTTGGCCCAAATTCCCACAGCAACTGCCACACTGTCCTTTCTGACTCAGATTTTTCCTTCCTCCTACACACCCTGCTGGAATAATCTTTCTCAAACACCATTTATTGTGTATGTTATCAACGTCAGACTCCTCAACCAACACACTAGGTACACCAGCTACTAACCTGTGTGTTCTGTATGAAGGGAACCAATTTCATTCATAGCGCGGCCAGGCCACAGAGTCTAGCACAGTGCCTGCTGCACAGCAGGAGGGCAGCAAATGTTCCTCAAGTGACAGCAACATCCAGTGGTGTTCCTTTCTCATCCTTCCAATTCTCTCTGCTGACTTGGTCTCTCTGTTCCCATTAAGCCTATTGGCTTCTTGATGCTCACTTGGGCCCTTTTTGTTTTGAAAAGCCGCTATCTTTCATTTCCCCAAAATCTTCAGACGGGGATGGGGAACAGAGAAGCTGACATCCAAGATAATATCAAGGAGTTTGTGCCAAATATAATACCAACTGCAAAGACCTGAGAGCAGAGTGGAATGCGTGCATCTGCCTGCTAGGAGCCTCTGCTCCAATAAAACCAGGGAGGAGGGTAGAAGGAAGAAAGGAGAGTGGCAGAGCAGTGGCTTTGGAGTTTACAAAGGGATCTTCTTGCCATGGAGAGATTCCAACCTGCCTAGCTCTGTCCCTGTTCTGATGCTCAAGACTGTTCTCTTACTTGGCACCACGTCTCACACACACAGACAAATACCCAGTGGTGTCCACTTCATGATCCAGCTCAAAATCCACCTCCTGCAGGAAGGCTGTGATAACCTCCACCCCACTGTGATCGTCTTATTATCAGTTTCCCTGTGAGCCTTATAAGCTACCTTCAATCTTTTCTATATTTTACAGCTTAGTTATGTCCTACAGTATTTTAACTACATATGGGATAAGTCCCCTTGGTTTATAAACCCTTTTGTGTCAGGGACAGTGTCTTTTATTTATTTGATATCATCTATTTATTTTGAGTAGTAGGGATGAGGTACTTTGGAGTACAACTTGGGTCTGGATCCTGGTTCTAACACTTAGCTGTTTGGTTTTGGATAAGTCTCTTAATCTCTCTGAGCCAGTTTCATCATCTGAAAAAGGAGCTAGTGATACTTGCCTTGCAGAATGGGAGGCAAAGATTACAGAGAATACAAAGTGCCAGGGAAGTGTTTGTTGCATGGTGAGCACACAATAGTTTGTATTCTTTCCACGTACAGGAATTGGGGATAGGGGGCAAGGCCTTCTTTACCGCCCATACCGGGAAACTTTAAGCGTGAAAAGAGACACTATTAATAACTACGCCAGTTTCAGGGATGTAATCCGGACGGACGCATGGCCACCCTCCCCTAGTTCACGATTACCAGCAGGGTTCGGATACAGCACTGTATCCAAGTATCTAAGCATGGAGCCAAACACAGTTAAAGCTCAATAAATGTTTGTTGAATGAACGAGCAAACATAAACTGTGCCTACTCAGTTTCTTGGACATCAGTGAGTGAACAAGCAAAGATTGAAAAGCCCGCCCCCGCCGCGCCCCACCCCCACCGCGTCCCCGAGCATCCGGCAGTCTCGATTCCCTAAGGTCTGTCCTTCTCCAGCCCACCGCCCCGCCCCCGGTTGCCTTGGAAGCAGTGACGTGCGCGCGAGGGGCGTGGCCTCTCTCCATCCTCTCGGCGAACCCTGGGCCCCTCCTTCTCGGAACCTGGGGGGAGGATGAGATTGAGGGCCCAGACCCCGCGCGCCCCCGCCGGGCCCGGAGCTGACGCGCCCGCCGCTCGGGCGCACGGCTTGCGGGCGCGCAGGCCCCACCCGCAGCCGGCGAGCCGGCGGGGCTCCGGAGAGAGCGCCTCGGTCGCTGTGAGCCCCCGCGACCCCTCCACCCGCCGACGGATCCTGAGAACCCGGGCCCCGCGCTCGGCGCAGGCCCACCCTGCCGGACAGCCCTCGGGCTCGCTCCGCTTCCTGGGGGCGCGCGGGCGCGCGGGCGCGGCAGAGAAGGAGTTAAACTAGGTGCCGGCGCCGGGCGCGGCGGAGCGGGGGAGGGGAGCGAAGGGAAAGTGAGAGCGGGGGCGGAGGGGGACGGGAGCGAAAGAACATCCTGTGCCCGTCGCCGGATGCGCGCGGGGGGAGGAGGCAGTGGGGGGGCCGGCTGGGGAGGCCCGCGGCGGGGCAGGCGCCGCCCCGCCCTCCTCCTCTGGGGGCGCCGGGCCCGCTCCGCGTGCTCTCGCCCGTCTCTCCGGGCGCCCCGAGCCGCCCGGGGCCCCAGAACCTGGTGCCCGGGCCGCGGTGAGCGCTAGCTGGGAGGGCTGATCTCGGAGATGCGGGGTCCGCGCAGGCGGGCGGCCCGGCTTTCGTCTCCCGGCGCTCGGGCTGTCTGCGGCGGAAGCTCGCACGTGTCGCGTCCCCTGTGCGCCGCGAGTAACAGCGCGTTCTGTCCTGACAGCCGCACCGCCAGGTAGTAGGTAGGTATTAATAGACTCTGGCGGAGGAAACCGAGACTCAGACTGTGGAATCTGTCCAAACCCCAAACTGCTGGGTTTTTGAACCCAACCCGATCAGACTCCAAAGGGTTTTTCATCGGAGTATAGAGTAGGCTAATTTCTCCTCGCATCTGTGCACGTTAGTGCTGGGCGCCTGCAGGGTCGCCCTGGTAATGGCCTGGCAGGGTGTCTTTCTCAGTAGGCCCCCGACTGCTGGAGCTTCTCTAATTAACTAGGCTGCAGCACCCATCGCTGGGGTACTGGTAAAGAGAATGAGGAAGTAGCCTTAGAGTGTCACAGGTGGTTGGATGGTTTTTTAGAACAAAATAGCTCAGGGCAATGGACTGGGGGGATAGCTCCAGGTTTGGGTATTTCTGGGGGCTTCAGACTGGGCTCCAAAAGAGCAATTAAATGGGTTACAGGAGGAAGACTAGGGTGAGAGGTACTGGGAGAGTGGAAGGGGCTTAATAATGCACTTTTCAGGCCAGGGATGCATGGAGCCCTACCATCTGTCTGTTCCCACTGCCTTCCCACACCAACGTTTTTGTGTATAATCATTATGATTGCAGTCAACATTTGTTGAGCTCTGTGCTGGACACTGCTCAAAGTGCTTACTCCTCACAACACCATAAAGTAAGTTTTATTAGTGCTGTTTTACAGATGGGGAAAATGAGGCACAAAGAGATTGCTAGGCTGAACTGGTTGTGAACCCTGGTAGTCTGTCTAGAATCAAAAGTCATTCACTAAACTACAGTGCACTTAACGTGGGGGAGGGGGGACTTCAGCCTTGAAGGCAAAAAGCTGGTGGAAGTGGCAGAGAGGTATGTGCTTGGACAGCCCACATCCTTTTCCTTGGTGAGGGCAGGTAAGAAACTCATGGCTGTGTGTATATCAGCTCTTGACTTCCCTCTGGCCAGTGGTTCCAGATTTCTGGATTTGACAGAAAAACAAAACAAGAAAACAAATGAAGGCCAGGTTCCCATAAAGAGTTGCAGCTTTTCATTTATGCTCCTTAAGAACATTCAAACCATACCGTGTATCATCATCATTTCCTAAATTTTAATTCTCCTATAAACAGGAATGACATCTGAATTGAAAACAGTTATTCCCAAGGACAGTCATTGACTTTATACCAACAAATAGACATTCCTCTCTCTTAATATTTTGTTCTGTGGTCTAGTGAAAATGTCACCCTAAAGATGACAATGACTCTGCCTGCATTCCTTCTGAATCATTTGAGGGCAGAACCAGAAGAAATGGGCTTTAGGTGTAGCAGGAAGAAGTTAGATTACAGCCAAGAAAGAACTGCCTTTGGAGGTCTTTAAAGAATAGGCATCAGGCCTGTAATCCTAGCTCTCTGAGAGGCCGAGGTGGGCGAATTGCTCAAGGTCAGGAGTTCGAAACCAGCCTGAGCAAGAGCGAGACCCCGTCTCTACTATAAATAGAAAGAAATTAATTGGCCAATATATATATACATATATATAAATTAGCCGGGCATGGTGGCGCATGCCTGTAGTCCCAGTTACTTGGGAGGCTGAGGCAGAAGGATTACTTGAGCCCAGGAGTTTGTGGTTGCTGTGAGCTAGGCTGACGTCACGGCACTCACTCTAGCCTGGGCAACAAAGTGAGACTTTGTCTCAAAAAAAAAAAGAATAGGCATCACCACATTTGCTTTCCGTGTGAGGGTTGCAGGATCAACTCCATGCAATGGAGGGGCTGGTGACTGTGGGTCCCCCCTTGTAGAAGGGCAGAGCAGGGACCTTGTCCTCAGGGACTTAGTCTCAGATCCGCCAAGAAGCCTTGGAACCTATACCACAGTTCCCATCAGGCAGCCGTTTCCTGCCCAGGGTTCCTGGGATGTGAGGGTGGTTGCATGGCAATGGGGAGGCCTCTGGGCCTGCACTCACCCCTCACTACAGGGAGTCCCTGCAGTCCCTCACTTGGGGCTGAGTAGAGTGCCAGCAATGACCCTTGAGGAGGGCCGGGATGGAGGAGAGGATGGGAAGAGAACGGCCACCCAGGAGTGTTGCCCGTTCCCTGCTTGCCACCTGCGTGTGATGGGCCAAGGCTCTGAGTGGCAGGCCTGGCTGGCCACAGCATCGCTGGAGATACTGCTTCCCTGCCTCCCTCTAGCCCAGGTGCAGCCTAGGACCCAGAACCTTCTGTCCCAGCTATCCCTAAAGGAGCTCGAAGCCAGGCAGGTGAAGCCCTGTTCTAGCACAGCCATGCTCAACACTGGCTCTGAGCCTACTCCTAGCTTGGGGCTTGTGACTTTGTCATTCTGTGCCGGAGTCGTGACAGGGGCAGAGGTTGGGTGGAAGGGTCTGGTCTCACCTGCCTCATCCTAGTGGAGGAGATCAAGGCCTCTGAAGATGGGCTGCCGTCCTCTGGGGTGGTGGCATTTTCTGACTCCAAGGGGGGTCTCAAGCCTCATCCCACTTGTGGGGAGGCTGAGAGGTGGCGCATCCAGTTTTAGACCCATGATGGCTGAAAGTCACAGACCTGCTCACATTCCTTTCAATTGTGTAGTTAAAATGGCAAGTCTGTGTCCCTTCAGGTTACAAATGCAGAAACAGACCCAAGTGAGCGCCGTCCCTTCCTCCTCCAGGGTCACTCTGGTTAGAAGGGCTTGGAGCCCCAGTTTCTAGACTCTGTCATCATTCTGCTCCCAGTCCTCAAAGACTGACAGAACATGGCTTAAGGACCTACTCAGTGCAGGAGTCTTTGCTGGCTGCTAGACTTGCAGCTGCCCTTGAGCTTTTTGCCAAACACGTGAACTCCAGGGCAACACGAGGTGCAGGCGAGTGCTGGCTCTGTCCCCAGACTCTATGTACCTGATAAGATGCTCCCCTCTTCTTCCTCCAGTGGGGGCAAGGAGCCCTGTAGGAGGAAGCAGGGGCCAAGTGTAGGTCTATGGTGGAAAGATCACAGATGGGAGGGCCAGGGAACCTGTGTCCCCTAAAGAAACAGGGGTGTAAAGGACTCTCTTGCCCCTGCCTTTTTATTCCCCTGGGGTCTGAAGCTTCATCGCCTACAGCCTCTGAAGCTGAACCCTCTCTCTTTTTAAAGGGACCCCTGACTGCCCCATTTCCTGACCACCACCCTCCATCCCATGGTCTCCCCAGTTTCCTTTGTTGCTTCAGTTCCGATTCCGGTACCCTGGTTCCTGGGCCTGCCAGAGTTCCGGTTCCAGAAGGCCCCTCCCAGGTGCCTTGGGCCTGCCTCCCACCCAGGCACAAGGCGACGCTGAAGACATGGGCAAGAGCATTCCCCACTACCTGAGACATCTGGACATCCGCAAAAGTGTAGTGAGCCTGGCCACAGGCGCCGGGGCCATCTACCTGCTCTACAAGGCCATCAGGGCTGGCATAAAATGCCAACCACCCCTCTGTTCCAACTCGCCCATCTGTATCGCTCGTGAGTGTCCGGGCCCTGGGGAGAGGGCTCTGCCCCAGGAGGCACCTGCTCCCGAGGCCTCCGATGTGGGAGGGCCCAAAGGTGACTCCTCCAAGTTCCTCTCTCCTTCCTCTTTCTCTTCTTCATCTTCCTCAGGCCCACCCTGCAGTGCCCTAGGCAAAGTCCTGCTAGAGAAGCTAGTTCAGGGTCTCTGGATCTCACGCAAGTGGATCCTCAGACTCATCTGGCAGGTCTCCAAGTACTACATTTACTCTGGCTCCCAGGATTCCACTTCTTGGAAACTTGGCATCAGCAGCTCCCCCATCCCTTTCCTGCCCCAGGAACTCGAGACTTTAAGGAAAGGGAAAATTGGAGGACCTACATACCCAGAGCTTCCACTAAGTCCATATGGTTCTTTTGTGCAAGCAGGAAAATGCACCCCTTCTGCAAGACTCTCTATTGCCATCTGCTGGAACATCGTGGCCATAGACTGGTTATAGTGAAATGCTGCTTGTTACAGCCACATGCCAGAAAATTGTTAGATAGATAAGTCTGTGAGGATATGCTATGGGCAACATAACAGTAGATGTGGTGCCTTGTGCAGTACATGCCCATGTCAACGGTACATGGTGGTCCTGCATACAGGGAGAAGGCTTCTCTTCAGAAGAGGCAAGGCAGCCTTATCCCTAGGTCCCTATCCCCTGCTTCCCAACCCCATTCTTTCATTGCTTCTGAGTCTACAGCCTGAACTGGGCTGGGTGGCTGTCTAGGCCTGGCAATTGAGCGAGAGCGGCATGGGCGGGACTCAGGTGAGCTCCGGAGGCTTCTCAACTGTTTGGAGTGCAAACACGACGAGTACGCCAAGAGCATGATCCTGCACAGTATCACGCGCTGTGTGTACTTGCTGGAGGCTGAGGTGAGGGAAGGGAAGCAGGAGGTCCCTCCTGGCCCCTGGGGGTTACAGCTGATCCCTGGCCCTTGACTGGCCAGACAGTGTCCTGGGACCTGTCTCTCTGGCTGATGGTGGGAGGGGTGTGCGGAGGGATTGTGGTGACATGGGGGGCGGTGGGCCCAGGACACCCGCTTTTCCTGCCTCTGCCGTCTCTCCCCACATACTCCAGGCCTCTGCTTGTACTACTGACGACATCATGTTGGTGGGCAGCATGCTGGATGACAAGGACAACAGTGTCAAAATCCAAGCTCTGAACTCACTTAAAGCTTTCTCTGGCATCAGAAAATTCAGGCTCAAAATCCAGGTGAGCCCAGCACCAGGTGGTGGGGCAGAGCACTCAGGGTGTCTGTAGAACTCGAGTCCCTTAACTGGCGCAGGATAAGCGCTCAGGTTCCGGAAGTTTGTTTTATCTCAGTTTGTAACCCATAGACAAGTGGGGAAATGGTAGTCAGGTTCCCAGCAGAGTCATGAAAGCCTTTGAAGCTGAGGAGGAGACAGACCTGGGGCACTGGTGCTGCCTCCCAACCTCGCACAGAGAAAGCCCCCTGAGGTTCTTTCTGATGCCAGCCAATTCTCAACGCCAACCAATTCTCAACGCCAGCTGGGTATCCAACAATTCAGTTCTGACACTAACTACCCATAGTCAGCGCAGATGCCACAGGTTAAGTAAGGGCTCAGTCCCACAAGACTGCCCCCACTCAGACACCAATCACCAGTCTGACTTCTGACAGACCAGCTATAAATTCAGGGGTTCCTGCAACTCTCTCTTCAGGTTTGATAACTTGCTAACATGACTCACCGAACTTGGGAGGATACATTTACCAGTTTATCATAAAGGACACAAATTAGGAACAGCCAGATGCCTAGGGCAAGGGGTCGGGGAAGGGGTGTGGAGCTTCCAGGCGTCTCTGGGCACCCTCCCCACCCCCACACTCCGAGCATCTGTGTTCAGCAGCCTGGAAGCTCTCTGGACCTCGTTGGCTAGAGGTTTTTATGGCAAGGTTGATTGAATCAGCAGCCATTGGTGCTTGACCCCAATCTCCAGCCCTTCTCCCCTCCCAAAGGTTAGGGGTTGAAAATCCCAAACCTCTGGTCATACCTTGGTCTTTCTGGTGACCAGCCCTCACCTTGAAGCTACCTATGGGCCCTGAAAGAGTCACCTCATTGGCATAAACGCTGGTGTGACCAAAAGGGTTAAGAATAACAAAAGACACTCAGGAAATTTTAAGGTGGCTGGACCACAGATGCCTTCACCACCACCCTATAGAGAAAATGTTAAACCACCAGATGTCATCTCCCCCCATTTCCCAGAGTAATGCCCTGGGCTCACCTGTTTCTGCACCTGTCCTCCCTGCTTTCCTGCTGGTGCCTCTCAAACATGGCTTTCTCCCTGTCTGCAGTCGGTGCTGGTCTCAGGCCTGCACCCGTCCCCTCCTAGCTCGTCCCCTCTGCCCCAGTGGCCTCCAGGCTCCTTCCCAGCAGCAGCCAGCGTGCTCCAGTCCCTCCCATCTCCAAAGAAAACCAGAAAACCTCTTCCTTGACCTCCCAATCTCTCCCTAGCAAAATGTCTATCTCTCCCAAATGAAAAATAAGTAGAACATTAAAACTTACAAATACTATATACATGTACGGTAGAATAACAATAAAACAAAACATGCACCACCGGACCCAGGCTAAGAGACAGAACTTGGGCAATATGTTAGATGCCCCTAGATGTGGCCCCTCCATGTCAGCTGCCTCCCCCACCAGAGACAATCATTGCCCTGCATTTTGTGTGTCAGTTCCGGGATACAGTTTTACCATATGTGTATGTAGCCCTGCATATTCTAGCAGAGCAAGGCAGATGATAAATAGGTTAAATATAGTCAGGGATGTTTTTAAGCTGTGTGTACACGGAGGTAGGTGGTTAGTAGTCTTCTCCTGTGGCTTGCCTTTTTTTCCTCCAGCATTGAAAGATTCACCTTACTGGGCAACTCTGTCTCCTTTTTCACTGCTCTATCGTATTTTGTTTTACAAATACCATACCATCTGCCCTCTGACCGGCTCTGAGTTGTTTCCAGGTACTTGCTGCACCCACACTGTGCCATGAACATTCTCGTGTATGTCTCCCTCGTGCCTGGGAGAGTTTCTCTTGGTGTGTAGGAGTGGGATGGCTGGGTCAGAGGCTATGCCCAACTTTTCCAGAAGGGTTGTGTCACTCTACACCCCACCAGCACTGCATGAGTGTTTCTGTTGTTTTATACCCTCACCAACACTTGGTGACTTCACACTTTAAAATTTTTTGCAATATATTTTTTTGGAGGAAAAAAGTTTCTTTACATGTGCCCCCCTTGGCCAGCTGCTACTGGACGTATCCACTTAGATGCCCTAGAAGCCTTCTGGCCCAACACATCCGAAGTGGAGCTCACGCCATTCCCTAAGCCACACCACACTCCCTGTCTGCCTGCTGTCCTTCTGCCCCCACCCCCCAGGCTGTCAGCATGAAGCGCATGGTTGGTGGTGGGCTGCACTTCCCTGTCCTAAGCCCAGCCTCTTACTCTGTGTGCTTCATGCTTTCCCACGCTGCCGCCCTGGCATCTGCTGCTCCCTCCTCCTGAAACCCTGCCCCAGACCTGCTGACTCCAACCTGTCCTTCAGGTCTCAGCAGACAGTGAGGGATGGGGGCAGGGAAGAGCAGGGTACTGATGGGACACTTACTTGCACCCCAGGATTCTTGCTGTTTCTTCCATTGCTCACAAAGGTACAGCTTGCGAGGTTACCCGTCTTTGGCAATACCTGTAGGTCCAAGCAGATTGCATCTCAGAACCCAAGATCCCTTCATTTGTTCAACAAATGTATATTGAACACTTACCTTGTGCCAGCACACTGTTCTAGGCACTAGAGAGAGCAGGAAACAACAGGAAAGACACCTGTCCTTGTAGGGTTTATATTCTAACAGGGGAGGCAGGCAGTACACAAAGAAGTAAAACACAGTGCGTTAAGTAAGTGCTACAGAGAAAAATAAAGAGGGAGGATAAAGAAGGCTGAGTCGGTGTGGGGGTGTAGTTTTGAAGAAGAAAATCTGGGACCTTGGGCTTGGTAAATAGCTACGTGGCACCATAAGCATGATCTATAAAAGAAATCAATTGGACTTCATTAAAATTAAAAACATTTGCTCCCTGAAAGACCCTGTTAAGAGGATGAAAAGACAAACTGCAGACTGGGAGAAAATATTTGCAAACCACATATCTGATAAAGGACTTGTCTGCGTTATAGAAAGTGCTCTCAAAATTCAATATTAAAGAAAACATGCAATCCAGTTAGGAAATGAGCAAAAGACCTGAGATATTTCACTGAAGAAGATACATGGATTGCAAATAAGCACATGAAAATAGATTTAATATCACTAGCCGTTAGGAAAATGCAAATTGAGACTATAATGGAATATTACTATACACCTATCAGAAGATCTAAAATCAAAATTAGTGACAATCCCAAGTGCTGGCAAAGAGGCAAAGAAACTGAATTCTTTCATTCTTGCCAGTGGGGATGTAAAATGGTACAGCAGCCACTCTGGAAAATAGTTTGGCAGTTTCTTTCAAAACTAAATATTCATTTACCCGCCAGTGATTGCACTCCTAGACATTTATCTTAGAAAAACAAAAACTTACATCTGCATAAACATACACAATTGTTCATAGCAGCCTTATTTGGAATAGCCCAAACTGGAAACAACCAAAGTGTTTCAGCAGGCGAATGGGCCAGCACACAACGTGTGAATGGCACCCTGTAGCACGGAGTGTGGCTTTGTTGTACAAAGGAGTGGAATCCTGATGCACACAACAACTTGGGTAGATCCCAAGGGTGCTATGCTGAGTGGAAAAACCCAATCTCAAAAGTTCACATAAAGTTCGATTCCATTTATATAACGCTCTCAAAAGGAAAAAAGTCAAAAGATATGGAAAACCGATTAGTGGCTGCCAGGGGTCCGGGCTGGGGGAGTAGGTGGCAGTGACTCTAAAGGTGTCCCACGGTGGAGATCTTTGTGGTGGTGGGACGGTTCTGCAGGAACAACCTGTTGAGTATAGTGGCAGCTACACACATCTGTGCATGTGATTAAAATGGCCTAGAGGCTGGGCGCGGTGGCTCACGCCTGTAATCCTAGCACTCTGGGAGGCCGAGGCGGGCGGATTGCTCGAGGTCAGGAGTTCGAGACCAGCCTGAGCAAGAGCGAGACCCCGTCTCTACTATAAATAGAAAGAAATTAATTGGCCAACTAATATATATATAAAAAACTAGTCGGGCATGGTGGCGCATGCCTGTAGTCCCAGCTACTTGGGAGGCTGAGGCAGGAGGATCCCTTGAGCCCAGGAGTTTGAGGTTGCTGTGAGCGAGGCTGACACCACGGCACTCACTCTAGCCTGGGCAACAAAGCGAGACTCTGTCTCAAAAAAAAAAAAAAAAATGGCCTAGAACTAGGCACGCGTACCAATACCAGTTTCCTCGTTTCAATATTGTGCCATGATTATGTAAGATGTAGCCATTGGGGGAAACTGAGTGAAGAGCTCAAGGGACCTCTCTGTTATTTTTGCAACTTCCTGTGAATTTATGTTAATAAGTATTTCAAAATAAAAAGTTTACAAATGGAAAATATGTTGCATGTGGCAATGCTATGGAGAAATATAAAGTAGAGACGGGGCATAAGGAAGGCTGGAATGGGGGTGTTTGGGGAAAAGACTCTTTGCAAAAGTGACGTTTAAGCTTGTAGGAGGTAAGTGTGAGTTGTGAGTCTTTGGGGGAAGGGTGTTCTGAGCAGAGGGAACAGCCTATGTGAACACCCTGAGACAGATGTGTACCAGGCATGTTTAAGGAATAGCTAAGGAGGCTGTTGTGGAAACCACTGGAGCAAAGGGGAGAATAGGAGATGAGATCAAAGAAGCAGGGAGGAGGGAGGGGTAGATCATGGGGCACAATATGCCTCCGTAAGGACTGTCACTTTTGCCCTGAATGAAATGGGGGCTCGAAGGCGGAGGAGTGACATGTCTAACATGTCTACTGTTCTGAAAATAGACGTGGGGGGCGAGGCTGGCAGCAGGGAGACAGGAGGCTGTTGCAGAAATCCAGGTGAGAGAGGATGTGTCTCAGAAGAGGGTGGTAGTAGTGGGGGGTGGTAAGAAGTGGCTTGATTTTTGATCAAGTGGCTAGACGTTGAAGGTAGTGCCGACAGGATTTTCTGAAGGACTGGGAAGGGGGTGAGAGGAAGAAAGGAGTAGAGAATACCCCAGGTTTTTGGCCTGAGCAACTGGAGGAAATGCATGGCCAACCGCTGAGACGGGGAGGGCTGCGGAGGAAGCGGTTCGGGCTGGGGAGAGCGTGTGGACTGGGAGAGGTCTACCAGACCTTCAGGGAGAAAAGTGCAGTTGGCAGCTGAATATGAGTCTGGAGTTCAGGGAGAGGCTTGGGCTGGAGACGTGAACTTGACAGGCTGCAGCATGTGGATGGTATTTAATTCTGTGGGTCTGACGATATCCCTACAGGAGTGCTGTAGGTAGGGAAGAGCAGGTTGGGCAGAAGAACTAGGCGGAAGCCTGTGAAAGAGCAGCCAAGTGAAGACAGACTTCCAAGGGGATGGGAAGGTCAGCTAGGTCAGATGATGCGGACAGTTCGGGTCGGGGGGACTGTCTGTTGGTTTGGCCCAGCAGTCACGGCGTGGGTAGTGAGGAGTGAAGTCAGAGGCTGGGGGAGTGGTGGGGATCACCGCATAAAAGCACACCCTCCTCTGCCCCCCACCCCAGGAACACTCCATCAAGGTCCTGGAACTGATCTCCACCATCTGGGACACGGAGCTGCACGTTGCGGGCCTCAGACTGCTCAACAACCTTCCCCTGCCTGACTATGTGCACCCGCAGCTGCGACGGGTGATGCCTGCCTTGATGGAGATCCTGCAGTCAGACTACATCCTGGCACAGGTGCCTGAGGACACGGCCGGGGCCCGGCCTTCCTGACCAGCCCCCGCACAGCGCCGAGTAGGAGGAGCAGAAGGTCGTCCTCCCTGCTCGGGACCAGACTCACCTTCCTCCTCATGCTTTACTCTTTCCTGTACGCAGGTGCAAGTCATACGGTTGCTGAGCTACGTGGCACAGAAGAACGACCTCCTCTATGATATTCTCAACTGCCAGGTGAGAATGACACTGAAGAGGGGCTGATGGATGCCAACTCAGGTATTGGGGAGGGAGAATCATGCCTTCTTCTTCTTCCAGAATTAGCCTTGATGAATTGTCTTATTCTTCTTCCTGCCTCTGCACTAAATGCATTCATTGAAAACCGTCCCCTTGCCAGGCACAGTGGCTCATGCCTATAATCCCAGCTCCTTGCTTGGGAGGCTGAAGTGGAAGGATTGATTGAGGCCAGGAGTGTGTTCTTTCTTTTCTTTCTTTCTTTCTTTCTTTCTTTCTTTCTTTCTTTCTTTCTTTCTTTCTTTCTTTCTTTCTTTCTTTCTTTCTTTCTTTCTTCTTCTTTCTTTTAATTTTTTATTTTTTAATATACTTTTTTACCCAGAGCCATGCCCAAGAAGCCTTGAGCAAGTGGACTCCAAGGCAGGAGTTCAAGACCAGACTGGGCAACATAGTGTGACCCTGTCTCTACAAAAATTTAAAAATTAGCCAAGTATGGTGGTGTGCATCTGTAGTCCCACCTGCTTGGGAGGCTTGGGTGGGAAGATCATTTGAGCCCAGAGTTCGAGGATGCAGTGAGCTATGATTGTGCCACTGCACTTCAGCCTGGGTGACAGAGTGAGACCTTGTCTCTAAAAAGAAGTAAAAGAAAACCATCTTCTCTCTTCTGTTCTCCCAATAGAATGAGGATTCATTTCGTTGGGAGGGGGAATTCTCCCTGGGGAGGGGCTTTCTGAACTCCTAGAGGTAGGAACATAGGAGACAAAACAAAAGTTAATGTAGGTTATTTTAATATTAGTAAAAAATGACTTATGGTAAAGAACATTATTAGAAGTAGAAAGAGTTGCTATGTAATAATCAGTGGTTCAGTTTACCAGAATGATAAAGCGACTCTAAACTTATACGTACTTAATAACATAATCTCAAGTTATATATATGGCAAGACTTGATGGAATTATAAGGAGTAATTAACAAATCTACCACCACAGTGGGAAGTTTGGAAGATTTTAACTACTCTTTCACCAATTGATAGACAAGAAACTAAAACTAGTAAGGGTTTATTTGATATAAATAACACAAATAAGCTTCAGCCATTACATTTACCTAGAACACTGTACAGTTATTAAATGCACATTTAGCTTGGTATAGCGGCTCATGCTTATAAACCCAGCACTCGAGAGGCTAAGGTGGAAGGATCACTTGAGCCCAGGAGTTCAAGACCAGCCTTGACAACATAGTGAGACTCCATCTCTAAAAAAATTTAAATGAATATTAGCTGGGTGCAGTGGTGCATACCTGTAGTCCTAGCTACTTGGGAGGCTAGGGTGGGAGGATTGCTTAAGCCCAGGTGTGATAATGAAAGGAAAATGAAAACATTCCTGTACAGTTGAGTCTGAAGCTTAAGTATATTAGGGAATCGAGGCACTAGGAGGATGGAAGAATAGGAATTTTAGAACGTGCCTCTCTCACCATTCCCATCACAGGTGCACCCCAACTTCCTGAATCTGTTCCAGTGCACACAGCCAGGGAGTCTCCTGTTTGAGGTGCTGGTGTTTGCTGAGCGGCTGAGTGAGGGCCGGAATGCATCCCACTACCGCGCCGTGAAATGGCATTACAACGAACAGTCTCTGCACGAAGCCCTCTTTGGGGATGAGTCGCGCCTGGCAGACCGACTGCTTTCTCTGGTCATCCACCCTGAGGAGGATGTTCAGATCCAGGCCTGCAAGGTCATAGTCAGCCTGCAGTGCCCCCCGGACTTGAGAGTCCGGCCCTCCTGCCAGTCCAGTCGTTCCTTCTTTAAAAGCAGGGAATAAAATTATGGAGAGCCAATAAATGAGTATGGGACAGAAGCTTGAAGCTTCTTAAAGCTTGTGTGTCTGTCTGTGGTCTTCCAGGGCTGGGTGATCTCGTTCCGCATACCCTCAGGCCCAGAGCATGGGCGTATCTCCCAGAACACAACCCGCTTCCATATTTAGGGGACCGACTACCCTCTTCTCTTGCTGCTTTTCAAACCTGAATGTGGAGCCAACGCTTTCAGGGGATTGGGAGAGGGCAGCTTGGGCACTGAAGACAAACGTAACCAACAGGAGACACTTCGCCATGGGCTGTGCAGCATGGGCCGGGGCACGCCACGGTCACAACCCCACGTCTCTGTGGCTTAAAAATGGCAACGGTTATTTCTTATTCACACTGCGTGCCCATTGCAGAGGTCAGCTGGGAGGAAGGGCAGATTCTGTGTCCTGCTCACTCAGGGACCCCGGCCCAGGAAGCCACCCTCATTGTGTTTCTACAACTATCAGAGAAGGAAAGAGAACATGGCAGTGATGTCTGGCTCTTAAAATTTCCACCAAAAATGACACGTAGCAGTTTTGCTCACATTTCATTGGCCAGAGTGGGTAGGGAAGATCAATCTTACCATGTGTCCAAGGAAGAACTGAAAATATTTGGTGACAGCATTCATGACAGAGACGTGCGGGCGTACTGGGTACGGGTGGGAGCTCTGGAATCAGACTGCTAGGTTCAAATCCCAGCTCCGTCACTAGCTGTGACCTCGGGGGAGCCTATTTGAGCCTTAGTCCCTTCATCTCTAAGATGAATGTAATAAAAGTACTCATCTCAAGAGGCTGTCGGGAGAGTGACATGGGGGTGGCATGAGCTCGGGAGCGGGCGGCAGGGTGTTCTGCATGCGTTCCCGCAGCTGGGCTGTGAACTCCTCATTGAGAAGATGAAAGATGAGCACTGGAGAGGTCCTTGGAGAGTGCTGAGTCCAGTATTTCTCTAGTCTCTTCAGGTTACAGGCACTGGGGACTCCTAGAGTCCTTTATGAAGCATCCCGAAATGCCGCTGGAACTTAGCTTTGGAGACCAGAGCGACAGCCTGAGTCATACAGAAGCGTAAGCACGAAGTCTCCCAGTACAAGAAGACTGGCAGACCAAATATGGTCATCCGCTTTCCTATGTTCCTATGCGTTTGCATTTCCCACTTGTTCGTTGACTGTTTTATCTGGGAGTCTTCGCTGGCAAACGCGGTGGTGGTTGTTAATGGCTTAAGAAAACGTTGTGGGAGAAAAGCCTAATATTGGAGGCCTCCGCGGTCTGCGGCTGCTCCGTCTGGGAGGCAGAAAACAAACCCAAAGAAGAAAAGTAACTTGCTCAAGGTCACAGGATTGGTCTGGGGCAGAAATAGGATTACAGCCTCCTAGTATTGGGCTTTTTTTCTTTCATATTCTTTGGCCTGAGCCTCTCGAGAGCGGGCCACGGGTTCTAAGCCCAACACGTGGAAGCTGAGGAAGGTCTTGATGCTTCTGGCTTTTACAGGCCAGGTTAGGACGGAACTACCTAAGGAAATCTGTCACCACTTAATCCCTGACCCAGGGTCACATCACTCGTGAGGGGTGAGGACGGTGGTTGCTGGTGAGGATGGGCTGATCAGAGAGAGCTAGTTTCTACAGAGGGACCAACCTCATAGTGTTAGAGCGGGAGACCGCAGGACCACAGAACAAAGAGACAGGGGCACTGAGGCTGAAATCATCAGAGGAGTTTTATTGACTAGCTCGAGCTAGGGTCTAAGTCCCAGAGCACCGACACGGCGGCCTCTGTTGGGACAAAGACCCCGAGCACTGTGGGACGGAGCCCTTTATGCCCTCGGTGCAGAACCTGTCCACGCGCCTGCCCTTTACATTGATTGGTTGGCCCCTTGTGCCCACGCGCTTGCCCTTTACATTGATTGGTTGGCCCCTTGTGCCCACGCGCTTGACCTTTTGTTTCATCCCAAAATTTACTACGATCAGCCTGCTCAAACCAACTTCCTAAAAACAAGCAATATACATAAGCTAAAAGAAAGCAATTAGCCTGAGGCTTCACAATAGCTCTCTCCCAAAGTCGGACCTGCCACCCCTGAGTGGACAGTCACCACTGGATCTGAATCAACATTCTTTGTCTCTCTCTTGGGTTCAGGACTGGCTTCTCTTGCATACACTGCAGCCACCCCAGTGGAACTTGTCAAGTGCCAACAGCACCCTACCCACGCTCAAATAGCCCCCGTGTGTCCACGTCAGCAGCAAGGTGTTGGGCATCACGTTCAAATCTCCTTCCCACTATTCCATTGCCAGCACCCTGCCCCACATCAGGACTTTTCCTGTGTCTGGTGTCTATGCCCTCCAGCCCTACACGTCCCAGGGGAATCCTAGAATCCCACATTGTACCATCCTCAAAAACCTTCAGGGACTCCCTGTTACCACAGGGAACCTTTTCTCAGCCTCCAAGCAAAGTCACATGATCTAACAAGTAGAAACATCCTCTCGGCAAAAGCAGGTTGAGTTTTGTCCTCAAAGATGTGGTCACTGGAGCCCTTCCTCACACGTAGAGCCCAGTGAATCCGCTTCGCATTCACGGCCCTTTACGGTGTGATCCTTTTGTCTCTGCAAGCCCGCTGTGCCAAAGCCATGCTCCAGCCAAACTGGAGCCAACTACTCATTGCGGCCTTAACCACGCCATGTGTCGCCTCGCTTCCAAACTTCCCGTACAACCGCCCCTGCCTAGCATGCTAAAATGGCCTGCCTTCTCCGTTCTACTGGGCCGTGCCTTCTAGAGTCATCAAAGTTGAACCATGTTCCACTGTAGTCTAGATCTTTCTTCCACTATACCAGCCTTTGGTGCTTCCTGTAGCACTTCTCATCTGAACCTCTCACTGGGCATTTGGCAAACTAAACCTTGGATCTTATAAACCTTGTTTGCTTTTGTTTTTATTTTGCAGTAAAGCACATCTGACTGCTTGTCAGAGCCTGAAAGAAGAGGCTGCTCAGGATAGGCACATAGTAGCAACCGGCTGATGGCAATGAAAGGAGAGGCAGAAGTGGGCAGAGGAGATGGGAGTGGTGCATCAGTTAGCTGTGTCACGAGCTATGCCAACATGTAGTGTGACTGGGTCTGAGTCTGATCAAGAGAAAAACCACACAGTAATTTGAACAGAAAATTCTAATACAATTATTAACAAGGCATTGGAGTAACAAAGAACTGGTTAGTAAGGAGTAATAAGAACCCTACAGAACACATGAATAGCAGACATAAGGGGCAGCTCCTCCTTCCGGACGCCTTGTTGGGGAGATCGTCTAGTGGCTCACTAGATGGCAGAAAAGTCATTGTGCTGTCATGCCAGTGGAGCGTGCCAGAAATACGCACCCTAGGAGGCCAGGGAAAGCTCTTCGTGGGGAGACATGGATCCAAAGGCACTCCACTATGGAGTGGCGGGCAGCAGGGAGGCTGCTGCCCGCTGGGTGTTGCTGGCCTCCACGTACCACCGGGGCCTGGCACTGGAGAACCAGTGGGTGCTGCAGGAGCCTGATGCGGGAGAAGCCATGTGCACACAGGTGCTGGGGCCGGAGACGGTGCAAAGGCTGCAGGAGGGGGAGGCATTCTGCTCACACCACAGCCCAGGGCAGGGCTGTGCCGGGAGAAGCTGCTAGCCACTGGATGTTGCTGGCAAAGGTGTTTGGACTGTAGAAGCCTGTCAATCAAGCACATTGGAACCAGGAAGCAAAAACCTTGTCTTCCTGCAATGTCCCTCCAGCTCCTGTCCTCTTAGTAATCTAAAATATCAGTAAGCTTTTGGTATGAATGAGCTCTATAAAAAATAAAATAAAATAAAATATCAGTAAGCATATGTTATCTCTTACGGGAATTCAGGAACATGCTGGCTGGCCGGTTCTGGCTCAGTGTAGCTGGGCTGCCATTATCTGAAGGCTTGACTGGGGCCGGAGGGTCCTCTTCCAAGTTGGCGCATGTATGGGGCTACCAAGTTGGTGCTGGCTGTTGGCAGGAGGCCTCAGTTTCTCTCCATGTGGGCATCCCACGGGGGTGTCTGAGAGTCCTCATGACATAGTAGCCGCCTTCTCTGAGAGTGAATTGTCCACGACAGAGCAGAGCAGAAGCTGCAACGCCTTTCCTGGCCTAACCTCAGAAGCCCGACTTCGCCACTTCCCACACATTCTCTTCATTCTAACGCTGAGTCCAGCCCCCTGGAAAGGAAAGGGAATTAGGCTCTACGTTTTGAAGCGAAGAGTGTAAGGGAATTTGTCAACACTTAAAAAGCATCACAGGGGGCATCAATCAACAAGGACTAATTGAACACCTACTGTGTGCTCAGCAGCTAGATGCATCTGTCTCCCCATAGAGAGGTCCCCTGCCACAGAGAAGAGAAAGTTTTTAACCAATAGTTGCCACCCCATCCCCTCCCTCTGTCTTCCTTGCAGCTGGTTAGCTGGTTTTGTTACCTACAGACTTATTTTACCCTCAGGAAATTTTATTTCCAAAGAAACATCTTGTTCAGTTGATTCTGAGAAAGCTTCAGAGAAGAGGAGGGGCTCGAATTGGGTCTCGAGAGAGGAGAGAGAAGAGCTCTCCAGGTTGGGCGACTACCTGGACTTTACCGGAAGGGAAACCAATCAGTGTTTCCCTCCGGCGGGGCGATGATGGGGGCAGGCGCCGGCGCGTGCACTGGCCAGGCAGAATGCCATTACACGTAACTGATTACTCAAGGAGGTAAAGGAGAGACAGAGGCAAAGGGAACTCCAAGCCCCCTGCACGGCTTCCACGAGGAGCCCAGCACGGGCACTCCAGCGGCTGGGCTGGGGCTCCGTTTGCCTTAAAACTTAAAGCAGGGCCTTTCCTCTTCTCGAAACTCTCGTGTTACCAGCAACTGCCCTCTGAGCCCACAGAAACGAGAACTCAAGAATTGCTCTTATGAGTGAAAAAACAGAGAGGAAGGGGGAAAGAGATTGGTTTAATGTTTATGAAACAAGAACCCTTTTATCATCAGCAAGTACAACTTTTACACATCTCTGATAATGATGGGTGGCAGATGTGGCCG